AAACTACAACTGCTAAAAGAAAAAAATCAAAATGGATCCTCAACCACCCGAAATACCCTGCCAAAAGTACTTTCGGAAACCCTTTTAGTACGGCGGCCCCAAGCCCTAAACAAAACCCGAAATCCAAGACCCCTAAATTCCTAAACCTCTAAACCCTGAACCCCTAACCCTAAGCGCTAAACTCTTCACACAGCAAAGGCACAGGAGGTCACGCACTGTGCTGGTCAACCTTTGGCTGGCTTGCTGTTAAGGGGCTTGACTTAAGTTACCATAATATGGGTTTCGGGTGTAGGGTATATAGTCAAGTATGGGGTTTCCTTATTATCGTAGCGTAGTTTAAGTTCCGACCCAGCTGATTGAAGAGCAACGAGAGTGTGCTTGGAGGGTCAGGCGGACTTTGTAAGCCAACTAATACTCCCTCTATAATCTATGTAGCTAAATGTAGGTCCCTGGGTATCCCCGTTGTTAACCTCTAGTCCTTATGCAATCACCGTGAGCCTGCAAGTGGAGCGTGACACCGGAACTGTTGAAAGGCTTCAGGCACTGAAAGTCTAGCAATCTACCTTAAACCCTATTACTCACGGAGAGAAATCATGCAACCCGAAAGAGGCTCTCTTGTGGACGACAAGCGACATGGGTTTCAAACAGAACCCATCCTATATGAATTGCACAATTGATAATGTAGGGGCCCCAAAAAAATTACCAACATCTTCTTGAGGTCTATTTGAAGTACCCCATACTACAATTATGCAAGAAATATAGAACCACTATTTTGGTAGTGATTCAGGCTTCTGGAATACTAGTCTTGGAGAGGGCGCCAAGTCTGGCGACCCTCGGAGAAAATCTTGGCATGAGCAACACTTGCCAGGCTCATGATTGGGCATCATGTTCGGGCACCGGCTTCAATACTCCTCGCACACGCTGTGCCACGAAGCAAGAAATTATGTCAGTCTTCATCAGAGCAGGTAACATTCGGGCTCACTAGCTACATCTGCTTGAAATCCACCCCACCCTACCCCGAAACATTCACCCCCCATGATAAACATGAACCTGATAAAGCCCAAATATACAACAACTGGAAACCTAAACCCTCAACCTACCACCCCAAACCCAGGTAGCTTGTAGGACCAGTAGCTGCTCCATGGCGCCCTTAAATTCCTTGTCCGCTGGAAGCCGGTGCTCCTTGACCTTCCCACCAGCTAGGTCTCTAATCCCCCCCCCCAAATATTAAATACTCCCAATATACTATCACGCACCACGTCACGGGAATATTTAGAATATTGGGAATATTAGGGGTGGGGTGTTCAATATTAGACGGAAGAGATTACCAAGGGTCTTCAAAAACGAGAAGAATCCTCAGTCGAGCGCACTAGTAGCCTGTGCCACATAAGAGCCTCTGGAACCCTAAGCCTTAAACCCATACCGCGTTCAGGGATGAAAGCTTACCGTTCAGGGCTCAGGGCTTACCTCCTTCTTCAAGACCAGGTACATTTAACCATATTAAAAGTATTATCCAGCTGTTACTGAGGGGGGGGGGCAGTACCCAAGGTATAATGCATAGAACGAGAGAACTAAGAAAGACAAGGCCAAGCTACCCTAAACATGAAGTCATAGAACCCTAAACCCTAAGCCCCTTACGGTTTAGGACCTAGGGTTTAGGGTTTAGGACCTAGGGTTTAGGGTTTAGGGATATAGTCTTAACTCCTAGTATGCGCCTGAACTTTCACAGGCTGCAGGATTAGGGCATAGAAGGGGCGGAGGGTGCATAGCATACGCCCTTTCCAAACAGCACACGATAAGTACAAGGCACCATTGTCCTGCATTTTGAATGCAGTCCAGCATGGGCACGCTAATGACTCCTTGCGCCCACAGGCTTGGAACCCCACGGACACGAGAGGGCCCAGCGGATTCATAGGCCAAGATGTCATCTCCATTTGGAGCATGGACCCTAGAAACTTGAATCCTAAAACCTAAGCCCTGAATCCCAAATCCTGATCCTGAATGCTAAGCCCTAAATCCTAAACCCTAAACTCCAAACCTGCCCGGCCTCTAAGGCATGCCACGTAGGGAAAAGTGTGTCATCCCAGTCAAAGATGATGGCAGTCTCACCTAAACTCTGGGATGTCAGGAGAATTTCTGGATGGTTCAAAGGCCCGCCAACTTTTTCCAAAATCGGGTTTAGGGTTTTCGGTTTTGGGGTCTAGGGCTTAGGTATTGGGTCTAGGGTTCAGGCTTGAGGGTTGTTCAAAATGGCAGCGGTGGTAACAATAAAAATATTCGAAGAACAGCAATGATAATACCAGTACATGGATACAACAACAAGACGGACAACAATACATATGAGCCCTGGACTAATTTAGTAGTATATCTCTTAATAGGTCCCCCCCAAAACCCTATATAGTCCCCTATAGGTCCTCCCCAACCTAAATTTAGTCCGTAGCTCATATATCATATATCCATCAATCCTGGGGTTTCTTGTGGTCGCCAAAACCACGCTTCACTCATGGAGCCCAGGCTCAAGATTCATGAGCTGCCCGCAAAACAGCAACAGTCATGCTCATCCCTTCCCTCGAAGAACCAGGCTTAACAAGCATGACTTTTGTACCTCTTGGAGGGAGTATAGCCCATTGAGCCCATGGTTTGCCGCGGACCTGTCAAGTCACAAAAGTGATGTTGATATCCAGGTGTCTCCACAAACCCTAAACCCTAAACCCTGAACCCTGAACCCTAAGATCTGCGAACAAAACGTCCCCTGCGAGGCCAAGAGCCAAGACACTGGGGGAGAAAGCAGGAGCTTCGACCTTTGGAGGTGGTGCCTCCGGCTGTCCCATCGGAACCTGAGATCACACGTAACAGAACTGAGCCCTGCTTGGGGCGTGACAGATACCTGTTTACCTGGGTCCCACTGCTTCTCCATGTAACCGGGAACTTCACCAAACATGCGTGGTAAGTAGGGAATGGAGCACTCCTCCAATTCCTGGTAAAACCCGACAAGCAAAGTTTACAGCATGGAGTAGGCTATGGATTTGGGGGCTGCCGGCGGCACTGCAGGAAGTTCCGGTAACCCGTCACCCGCGGCTGCAGAAGAATCCATTCCCAAAGCTACTACGATGGCCCAAATGCTTCGGG